GCCTGGCTAATTTTTTGTACTTTTGGTAGAGACAGGGTTTCTCTCTACTGTTAGCCAGGATGGTCTCGATATCTTGACCTTGTGATCCACCCACCTCGGCCTCCCAAAGTGCTGGGACTACAGGAATGAGCCACTGCCTGTAATTTTTGTATTTTTGTGGAGAGGGGTTCTTGCCATGTTGCCCAGGCTTGAAGCTGGATCAAGCAATTGAGTTCCTCAGATTTCCTAAATCGACCACAATATTCTGCCTTTATCCTGGAGGATGCAGATGTACCTTTCCTCAGGCCAATGACCTCAGGCCTCCATGGTCCCTGGAGCTCTAGGAAAGGAAGGTGCGATCTCAAGCCCACACCCAGTGCTCTGGGTCATAAGCCTGGATCTGGAAAAACAAATGCCCTTTGAGAAGATGGGGACTCCCCAGGATACCCCTCCCTCCCCTCATCCAGCCTTCAACCCTCCTGATTCCTTCCCACCTCCTCCACCTCCCATGCTCCACCCACCTCCTCCAACTCCTCCAGGGAAACCCGAGTCCTCCAGCGCATGGAACAAATGAACTGGAGTCGAAGTTTATGGAACAAGGGTCGCTGGGAGCGGTTCTTCCCATATAGGAAGTAGAAGGTGTCTTGTTTGGGGGCCTGGTTATCCTCCTCCATGTCATTGTCCAGGTAGCTGGGGACAGAAATCGGGTTGCTGCTCAGGGGCACCACCAGGAGAGACCTCCAGCTGAGGTCAGCTTCTCAGAGAGGAGGGCAGGGGACCGTCCTCAGCTCAGGGCTGACACTCACCCTGCAGAGAGCCATTCCTTCCTCAGGAGGGCCTTTCTAGACAGAGATCACCCTCAGGGTGGAGACAAAAACCCAACTGGTGGTCGAGAGTGGTGGCTGAAGCCTGCAATCCCAGCACTTTGGGAGGCCGAGATGGGAGGATTGCTTGAGGCCAGGAGTTTGAGACAAGCCTGGGCAACATAGCAAGACCCTTGTCTCTATTAAAAATATAAAAAAACTGGTGGGGTACCGTGGCTTACCCCTGGAATCCCAGCACTTTGGGAGGTTGAAGCGGGTGGATCACTTGAGGCCAGAAGTTTGAGATCGGTCTGGTTAATATGGTGAAATCCCATCTCTACTGAAAATACAAAATCAGCCTGGTGCAGTGGCACAAGCCTTAGTCCTAGCTATTCAAGAGGCACAAGAATTGCNTTTTTTTTTTTGAGACAGAGTCTTACTCTATCTCCAGGCTGGAGTGCAGTGGCACAATCCTGGCTCACTGAAACTTCCATTTTCTGGTTTCAAGCAATTCTCCTGCCTTAGCCTCCCGAGTAGCTGGGACAACAGGCAAGCACCACCACGCCTGGCTAATCTTTTGTACTTTTAGTAGAGACAGAGTTTCTCTCTACTGTTGGCCAGGATGGTCTCGATCTCTTGACTTCATGATCCACCCGCCTCGGCCTCCCAAAGTGCTGGGATTACAGGCATGAGCCACCGACTGTAATTTTTGTACTTTTGTGGAGAGGGGTTCTCGTCATGTTGCCCAGGCTTGAAGCCTGATCAAGCAATTGAGTTCCTCGGATTTCCTAAATAGACCACAATATTCTGCCTTTATACTGGAGGACGCAGATGTACCTTTCCTCAGGCCAATGACCTCAGGTCTCCACAGTCACTGGAGCTCTAGGAACGGAGGGTGCGATCTCGAGCCCACACCCAGTGCTCTGGGCCATAAGCCTGGATCTGGAAAAACAAATGCCCTTTGAGAAGATGGGGACTCCCCAGGATACCCCTCCCTCCCCTCATCCAGCCTCCAACCCTCCTGATTCCTTCCCACCTCCTCCACCTCCCATGCTCTACCCACCTCCTCCAACTCCTCCAGGGAAACCCGAGTCCTCCAGCGCATGGAACAAATGAACTGGAGTCGAAGCTTATGGAGCAAGGGTCACTGGGAGCGGTTCTTCCCATATAGGGAGTAGAAGATGTCTTGTTTAGGGGCCTGGTTATCCTCCTCCATGTCATTGGCCAGGTAGCTGGGGACAGAAATCAGGTTGCTGCTCAGGGGCACCACCAGGAGAGACCTCCAGCTGAGGTCAGCTTCTCAGAGAGGAGGGCAGGGGACCGTCCTCAGCTCAGGGCTGACACTCACCCTGCAGAGAACCATTCCTTCCTCAGGAGGGCCTTTCTAGACAGAGATCACCCTCAGGGTGGAGACAAAAACCCAACTGGTGGCCGAGAGTGGTGGCTCAAGCCTGGAATCCCAGCACTTTGGGAGGCCGAGACGGGAGGATTGCTTGAGGCCAGGAGTTTGAGACAAGCCTGGACTACATAGCAAGACCCTTGTCTCTATTAAAAATATTTTAAAAAACTGGTGGGGTACCGTGGCTTACCCCTGGAATCCCAGCACTTTGGGAGGTTGAAGCGGGTGGATCACTTGAGGCCAGAAGTTTGAGATCGGTCTGGTTAATATGGTGAAATCCCATCTCTACTGAAAATACAAAATCAGCCTGGTG